TCCTGGAACAAGGCAGGAGGTCTTCCACATCCCTAGAACTTTCTACAGGGTCAGACTAAGGGGGATGAGGGGCTGTAGAATTCTGCTGCTTGTTAAACCCTGACAGGATTTACCTGTTAACTGTGGAGGTAATCTTCACTCTTTAAGTAACACGGGTTTGGAAATGGAAATGGATGGATGGACGGATAGATGGATGGATGCATGGACAGACGGATGGATAGATGAACGGATAGATCGAAGGATGGGTGGATGGATGGAGAGATGGATGGATGGATGGATGGAAGGATGGATAGATGAACGGATAGATCGAAGGATGGACAGACGGATGGATAGATGAACGGATAGATCGAAGGATGGATGGAGAGATGGATGGATGGATGGATGGATGGATGAATGGATGGAAGGATGGATAGGTGGAAGGATAGATGAACAGATAGATGGACGGATGGATGGAGAGATGGATGGATAGATGGATGAAAGGACAGATGGATGGATGGATGGATGGATGGATGGAGAGATAGATGGATGGAGAGATGGATGGATGGATGGATGGATGGAGAGATGGATGGATGGAAGGAAGGATGGACGGATAGGTGGAAGGATAGATGAACAGATAGATGGACGGATGGATGGAGAGATGGATGGATAGATGAACGGATAGATGGATGAAAGGACGGACGGATGGATGGATGGATGGAAAGGCCTACTGGATGTAACCAGAGTAAAACCTTACGCCATGTTTTATAATCATCTCATATCTAAACTTTAGAAAATGTTTTTAAAGTGTTTGTTTGCAGCGATCTGTTTTCAGGAGAGGATCAGAAAGCTCAAAGGTTTTCCTTCTCTCTTCAGATTTATCCTGAGTTCAGTTTTCTCTGGTTCAGCAGATCCTCTGAATGTTTGCAGCATAGCAGAGAGAGACGTGATTAAAATCACCTTTTATTGCCATTCAGCTGATGTGTCTGTAGCTTAGCAACAACAGAAATAATGACATCACAGGAATCCAGTCCTCACAGTAACATTGTGCTGCCGACCCTCCTCTGACTTTTCCAGCCTTCTTTAATCATTGATATCATTCATTTGGACCGGTTCTTTAATTCTCATTTTTACTTTTAATTGCTAGTATCTGTAGCGAGTGTCGAAAAAGAATCTGCCTCGTATCATCAGAGGACAGAATGACAGCCTGTCCTTTGACCCACTGCACTGGTGTTGTTAGTTGGGTTTTCCTTCCTCCTCTAAAGTTATAGAGCAACTCCGGGAGCCTGTTTTTACACTTTCTGTCTTTACGGATTAACAGATAGCCATCTTGTTTCCAAGGTG